GAGGTAAGAGTATGTTTTTCCAAAGAAGCACTAATCTCAAGAGTCAATAAATGTGAAGAGCAGGGGTGGGCTGGGAGGCAGTCGTTATGGTAACTCATTTAAGAGCTGCAGTGGAAACAGCTGGGGCAGATGGGCCCTTTCTCCCTCTCTCCCCCAGTGAACTATTTGTTAGCAGTAGCATTTGGCCTTTGCCCTCAGGCTAAAGTGGCCTGGGGAGGGATCTAGGGAGGGTGCTGAGACCTCTACAACAGATAGGAGGAAGAAAACAAAAGGGAAACCAGCATCAGCTAAGAGTGAAACCTTCAAAAGGGGTCCACCCCCAGAGAAAAGCCCTCTTTTCTTTATCAGTTGTGGGGGTCCCTGGTCTTCCTGCTTCTCTCCACCCACATAACCTAAAGGGAAGCCTGCCTGTTGACAGGCCCTACCCACTTAAACCAAACCCACAGTCAGCCTTCCCATTTGGGAGAGAGGTTTGTGGGAGAAAGAGATCAACACGATTACAAAGGAAACCCTTGCCATCTACCCATAATAACCAACAAAGTTTTTCATTCATAAATATGACCACACAACTAAGGATCACCAGGCATTTGAGGGAAACTGTCAACATGAAAGAGAAGGACCAAAAGAAACAAATGGAACTGACTCCAGAGGAAAGTGAGATAATTTAAGATATAGAGGAAAACATAAAGGAAATATATTCTGATTTGTGTTACGAGAGAGGCTGGCCAGAGCCATTCATCCAGGTTAGAATGTTTTACAACTCCACCTTTTATCTCCTTAAAACAAAATTTAGTAATTGGGCAAATATTTACTAATTTCTTGCACTGCATCAAGACCCAAGGATTCTGAAATGTTTTTTTCTCTTTTCTCTAAAAACTAATGGTAGAGAAACAAGAAAAGTCAATTATAGGCCGGCCTGTGGCTCACTCGGTAGAGTGCAGTGCTGATAACACCAAGGCCACGGGTTCGGATCCTGTATAGGGATGGCCGGTTTGCTCACTGGCTGAGCGTGGTGCTGACAACACCAAGCCAAGGGTTGAGATCCCCTTACCGGTCATCTTTTTAAAAAAAAAGAAAAGAAAAGTCAATTATGATGTGATGTGGCCAGTGCTATGATAGATTAAGCATGGAAGAGAGCACCTCATTAGCTGGGAGGGGATATTTCACTTCAACATTAATCATAAGAAAGGAGGGAATCCGCCTATGCACAGGGAACAGCATGAAAGAGCACAGCACATTTAGGGAAATAAAACTAGCTTAACATGCCTGATGCTCAGGGTTGAGCATGAATGATTTGTGGAAGATGGGAGAAATGTGGGCAGGGGTCAGCTCATTTGCCATGCTAAGAATCGAGACCCAGGGCCAGCCTAAAAAAAAAAAAAAAAAAAAAAAGAATCGAGACCCTGTACTCTAGGCAAGAGTTTTCCAGGCATACTCAGGGAAAAGAGTCCTTGTGAAGCCCTTAATAGAACAAACAAAATACTGATATATTTAACTCTTTCATATGTACTGGAAATAATTTTCCTAGCAGCAACTATGACTGTGTTCTAGGTTATCAATATAAAATCACAACCACAAGCATATTCACATCAAAAACAAGCTGTTGAAGTATGATCCATTGTTTTTTTATTTTTTCCCTTGATACTTATCTGCTACAGATCAAACATTAGCTAGAAGAAAAGCAGTAGTAGAAAGTGGTGACAAAGATTTAAGGAAATTCTGTGTAAGAATAACTGAAAAATAAAACATTCAGTACATTAACTTAATCCTTTCTGTAAACTAAGAAAAAAATGACCAATTATCTTTGGCTACACACACTTTCATGCACTGCATAGATCTACAAATTTCTTGGAAACTAAGTCTGAAAATCATTTCTGGATGTGTCAGGCAGTGGAAGATTTAAAAAAGGAGGCCCAACACCGCAGCCAGCCCTCATTAGGGAGAGAGAAGTATGGGAAGTCCTGACACAAAGGACTTCTGATACAGAATCAGAAACTGGAAAATAAAGTTTAAGTTGTAAGCTGGAAAGGTAGCCAACTGTTGCATCAAGCTAGAGCACAAGGCTGAAGAAGGATGGAAGAAAGAAGAAGCTTCAAGGATTGAAGTACAAGCAAGGCATTCTGGAGCTAATCCCATTCATGTGAACATTCCAGGGTACTTTGTCAATATGTTTCCTTGGGTCTGGGACAGAGTCTTAGGGGATCAAATCAGATTAGATAATAAGATCATTTATAAGATTTAGAATTAACATTCTGCCAGCAGTGTAGAAGATGGATGGAGTGGAGCAGAAAAGGAAGCAAGGAGGTAAATCAGGATGGTACAATTCAGTAATGTTGGAGAAAGAGGATATGTGGGCCTAGGCTTAAATGTTGGCAGGGGACATGGAGGGAAGTGGTGGTGATCACAAAGCTTTGGGGAGAAAGAAGCCACTGGGATTGGGGAGCAATCTGGGACAAGAGAGAGGAAGGAATCATGGATGAGTCCCAGGTCTCTGGACCTGGGCAGTTAGGTGGGTGGTGAGACCATGCACTGAGATACTGAGATAAAGAGAACCTTAAGGGAGAACAGGTCTGGGTTGGAAGTAGAGTACAGAGATGAATTAAGTTTAGGGCATGCCAAGTGTGAGATGGCTTTGGGATATCCAAGTAGAGATATTCAGAGGTAGCTGTACTTAAGTCTGAAATTCAGGGTTGCAGTTATAGATTTGGGATTTACAACAACGAAAACCATGAAGGTGAAAATCATGAAGTGAAAACCGTGAAGGTGGTTGGGAATCATCCAAGGAAAACATGGAGAAGGAGAAGAGAGGGGAGGGGGGGGGAGGGAGAGGGACAGCAGAAGAGAAAGGATAGAGAACACCAAAGTTTTAAGGGGTAAAAAGAGAAAATGAGATCACATGAAGAAAGATTCTGAGAGGCAGAAGCCCTTAAGAGTATGGTGGTATAGAATTCAACGGGGGACGGTATTTGTAAGGATGACAACAGAATAATAGGTCAACAGAATAATTCGGAGGTCATTAAAATGGAACCCTACAAAGTATTCAGCCAAAATTACTATTGAGCTAATAATGGTGGGAGCAGTTTCAGGGCAATACTGTGGGCAGAAGTCAGACTGCAGGAGGGTGGAGACCAAGAAGTGGAGGCAGGGAGGTTGGACAACAACTCTTTTGAAGTTGATCACATGAACAAATTCTGATATTGTCTGCATCTCCGTGGCTCCTACAGCATCCTCTCCCTTGGGGCTTGGCTGAGCTGATAGCAGGGCCCTTGCAGCTCTGGCATTATGCAATTGTATGAAACTGGCCTTGGAGAAGTCCTTGAGCCCACTTTGGCTCTTGTGATAATTTTCCTTCAGCGGAACTAAGGTTACTTATCTAAGAACTGAAGCCTCTGACTTGACTGATCAAAGCTCATCACATTCATTGAAGCCACCTACTTGGCAGATGTAGTGAAAAGCTACACAGGTCTGAGCCCAGGACAGGATGCTGGGGCGTGGGAGGGAAAGAAAGCAGGTGCTAACTATACAGACAGCATGCCTATCAGAGCAGTTTTTACATTTCCTATCTGTCTCTCAAAACAATTTTATAGGAATCACCAAAGCAACCTTATCATGGTTTCTAGACCAGGTTGGGATGTGGGGCAAGGATTTCCACAGCTGCTTTTAGTTTGAAGGCAATCTGATAAGATGACACAAAAGCCATTCAGAAATGTGAAATCCTACACACCTCAATGGTTCAATTCGTTGTCAAAACTTTAGGTGTTTTTGATGCTGTTACTCGTTTTTTGTCTTGGGTTTTTGTTTGGGTTTTTTTACCAGTATATAAGGAGTTGGCAATTATTTGGAAAACTCATGTCTTAGGCTAAATTCTGAAAAATTGGGGATGAGAGTTGTCTGTTGCTAAACACATTTCAAATCTCTTTCATGCACATCTTTATTTGATCTTCACAACAATCTATGGGATAGGCGAGGCAGGTGCAACTGCCTCCTTTGGGTATGAGGAAGCTGAGGTCTAGAGAGGTGAAGTGATTTGCCCAAGGTACACAGCAATATATTGGTAAGGCAAGGACTAGAATCCAGGTTTATTAACTGCAGCCTATTTCCCCTATTCTGAACCATTACATCCGCATTAGAAATCATCTGACAGATTGGAAGAGTGTAGACCAGCAACTTAGTAAGTCAAGCAGATATTCCTTTCACTTCAACCCCAGAGTTTTGCCTTGATTTCCATCAAGACCCTACTTTTTTTTGCCTTTGAGAAATTTATTTTTCTTGCATTATCTTCCAGCTAAATTTTATTTAATAACTGTCAGCATCCTCTTTTAGTGTATGTCATGTAGACTTGACTTGAAAAGCTGCTGGGAGTTCGTTGAGTTTAAAGATTAAAGACTGGTTAAGGGTCACGAAGAATAATTACATTTTGTAATGATGAATATACTAATTATCTTGTTTTGATCTTCACACACTGTACATAGGTATTGACATTCAATCCTGTAACCCACAAATATGTCTAATCAATTATGTTTCAATAAAAAAAGATTAAAGAAGTAGTCTTGAGAAGCAATTAGCTAGCAGCATACTAGTCATAAAATCAATCCAAACTTTTGTTGGCATTTGTTTCTTTCCCCATGTATCAGTTTCCCGCTTTATATTAGTAAGACTGAAATTGAAATAAGTCTGTTGCTGGTGGATGAATTTGTCACTTTCCTTGAAATGGGTGAACCCAAAAAGTTAGACAGCAATAGGAAAATACTGCCATTGTCTGTTAAAAGTCTATGACATTTCAAGGCAAAAATGAATGTATGGAAGAAGAAACTTGTTTCTTCTTTACTAACAAAAAGGAAAGCCTGGAAGTGAATGATATGGGTATAATTTAAAAAAAAAAAAAAGTCTTTACGTAACTTTTTGCCAGGAGAGAAGACTACGAAGCACATTTTCCAGGAAGTGTGGGCTGCAACGATTGTGCGCTCTTAACTAATCCTGAGTAAGGTGGCCACTTTGACAGTCTTCTCATGCTGCCTCTGCCACCTTCTCGGTCAGAAGATACCAGTTCAGCTTTAACACAGCATGATCGAAACATACAGCCAACCTTCTCCCCGAACTGTGGCCACTGGAGCGCCCGTCAGCATGAAAATTTTTATGTATTTACTTACTATTTTTCTTATCACTCAGATGATTGGGTCAGCACTTTTTGCTGTGTATCTTCATAGGAGGTTGGACAAGGTAAGATGAACTGCAAGTTTTTCTTAACTAAATTTGGGGTCTTTATTGATTTGTGGGTTGATCAGTTTTAGTTCTACCCAAATGACAGACGATGGTAGAAACCCGAATAGATGAATGGTCTTGTGGCAAAATGTTTGTTGTCTAGTGAGTGAAGTTTCATATTCTTGTCTCTGGTTAAGATTTGGGGATCTGGAGTCAGGCTGCCTGGGTTCAAAGTTTGGTTCTGCCCCTACCAGCTGTGCGATCTTGGGGCAAATTACTTTACATTTCTATGCCTCCGTTTCCACATATGAGAGATGGCGATGGTAATGGTACCAATCTCATAGATTAAGTGAGTTTAGCCTTGTAGAGAGCTTAGAACACTGCCTGGCACATAGTAAGCACTATGTAGGCACGAGCTATAATTATTTGCTGAAGTTTTGCTTGAAAAGTAAACTTTTTCTTTTTCTGAAGACTTTTTACTTTTAAATTTCCTACTAGGGAAGGAGAGCATCAATTCGATCTGAAATTTCATAGTGCTTCATATTATAGACATGAATAATTCCCAAAATGTATAGTCTTTTTTAGTAAAAGTGGCTTTCTCTGTATAATTCTTCGAACACTGTAGTTGTAAGCTATTCAGTTTCCCTCTGAGATGTTTTACATTCTGAAAGGATTGGACTTACAGGAACAAAAGAGTAGAGTCACATAGTATGTTATTTTGCATTCTTAGGAAAAGATAACAGGATTTATCCTGTTTCCATGTATTTATCTACTTCTACTGAGGGATGTTACTGGCTATGTTGACAAAATACCAATCATACATGAAAAGGAGAAAACTGATCAATTGTCTGGCTGTTCTTAAAAGTCTGGATGTGGGAACTGTAGCTGGACAGCATCTGGGTGACTGCATTTTCTCAGGAATGTTTGGGTGTTCTCTCTTGGGATGTAGACCTAAAATTAAGGCCACAAAGTTTTTATTGGCATAAGGTGAGGCAGTGAGGATTGAGGCGATCCATCAGGTTACTCAAATTTCAGGTTTCACTGCTGGGAAAAGACAGGAGTTATGGGTCTGGTTGATTGGTTGTTTGTGTTGGCCTGGTGGGCTCTGTCAATCAAATGCCTGGACATAGGCCTAGCCTTTAAAAGGGGAATAGTGACCTGATTAGACTAAATTTACCATAGTATTTAGGTGTGCTTTTAATTACAGCAAAAGCCACCGGCTAACTGGATCTTATTTTGAATCTAAAAAAATTCACTCTTAAAACAAGAAAATGGTACAGAATTACTTGATGATGCTCATGAATTTCGTGCATTTAACTATTCTAAGACATTAGAAGATGAAGTATCTTGCTAACTTTGGGGATTAAAGATGATTTCTTTAAAAATGCAAATTTGTTTTTACAGATACTAAAGTTAGAGACGTGACTAGAATTCACATTAACTGACATATTGCAAGTTAACTACTTCTTGTAAAGCACTACATCACAGACAAGAAAATAAAGTGGGAAAATCAGCTCAGCAGAAAACTATTTTGTAGGCTGCTGTTTATAATGAGCGATCGTTACTGGAGCAATGGGAAATATGACAATTATAGAAACTATATTCCTAGGAAACGTTTTTATGATTACAAAATATTTTAGTTGATTGCTTAAAATACTGAAAGGTCTTTATTTTAAAGTGATGTGTACGTATGCATGTTTTGGGGACTTAGCCCTTCTGATGAGAGGCCCTTCTCAGTACTCTGAATAGAATATTGCTGCTACAGTACATTGAAAAACTGGACATTTTGTAATGAAAGTTTATTAGATCAGCTGTGATTTTTACCTAGAGTTTTAAATAGTATGACATCTTAATTGCTGGCTTTTGTAGATTTTTAAACTGCAAATACCAAATAACAATAATCCAGTATAATTTGTCATTCCTTTGTTGATGCCATGGAAGTGAACGTGGAAGCAGACATCCTTAGCTCCATTCTCCTTCAGAATGACATTTCTCATATTTCTGTTATTTCAAAATAGATAGAAGATGAAGGGAATCTTCATGAGGATTTCGTATTCATGAAAATGATACAGAGATGCAACAAAGGAGAAGGGTCCTTATCCTTACTGAACTGTGAGAAAATTAGAAGCCAGTTTGAAGGCTTCGTCAAGGTAAGGAGTTTTGTTGTTGATACAAATGTCACTGAGAAGTTTTGCTTCGTGTGCTAGGTTGAGAAACTGAAACCCAACAATGTAAAAGTTTAAACATTCATTATACATACACACACATATCCATATATACTCATATGTATATATGCACATACATGGGTGTGTGTGTGTGTGTGTGTATTTTAAAAAGCTAAAAATTGAAGCCAATATGCTATGTAAGAAAGAGAAAGTGAAGTTGGAAATATACACATTCTTACCTGATAAGAATAAAAAAGGCTCTCTTTGGGGAAAATACGCACTGACATGGCGTAGTCACACGTACTCACGAGCTCACATGTGCGGCTGCCACTGGGCAAAATTATGAAGTACACCAAGTTTGTTTTTGGCATTTTTGTATCTCCCCATCCACACCTTGATGCCTCCCCACTGTGGATCCATGATCTGATCTCCATTTTCCAGAGAAGCAATAACCACTGACCGCTGCCATGTTGGCAGGCCACAAGTGAAGATATTGCATTTACTGGGAGTAGTAGAAACTCCTGAAGACTGATCCTGTCTCTGGTGCTTCTCTGATGATGGAATTTCAGGTGCTATGAAAGGGAGATCTTTCCCTTTTATTGTGGAAAGAGGTGCGGGGAATGGGTAATGAACATTCTCAGTGCCGCTCAAACCAGACCCCACATAACATCACTTGCTCATGAAGCCAGTCCACTCTAGGGCCAGTCATGATCGGAGGCAGAGAGGGTTTGGAACCTTCTAGCCACCAGGCTGGTAACCAGCATAAAGTCACCTCAGGGACTGTGGCCTATAATGGGTAGCCAAAACAAGAATTTTCAGAACCTTTAGATTAATTCCATCATCATAGACACGGGGTCTAGGGGTTCTTTCTCCTGAGGCAGAACTTCAAGAATTGTTTCTGCTCATTTCCCTCTCAGAACACTGCATCAAATACTGTTGGCCCTCACCTCACTTAGGGGTCCTGTCTAGGAGGTAGCACTCTGTACTGAGGGCAGCTCCATGCCAGGTGGGTGGCAATCTGGATAAACTAACAGGAATTAGTTCTCACATGTAAAAGATGTGTGATTTAATGTGGGAGTGGAGGGCTTAAGATCTTATTTCTGAGCTATCTTCCTGTACTGTCACTGATGTGTAATTTAATCCAGTAGTGAAGACTCTAAGAGCTTATTCTTCAGCCACCTACAGGGATTAGAAAGCGGCTCAAATCCACTGCTGGCTTTCAGGTTCTTTACACTAATCCAGGTTTTAGATGAAACTCCTAACCCTTTATCTGCAAGACTGGCCAGGTCGGGGAAATGATTTACATTTTTTGGTTCTTTGAGGATTCTGGCCACTATTACAGGGTATTGGAATGTGCTGCAAATTTAAATGTGAATAAAGGCACTTTCAAAACAGTGGTTAATAATTCAAACAGCATATTGAATGTGCTTGATTGTGTGACCTTGGGCAGATGGCTTCACCTCTCTGGGCTTCAGTTTCTCATCGACAACATAAGGGAGCTGAGGTTATCTGTAAGGGCACTATCGGCTCTGATATTCTGTAATTATGTGATCAACTTTTAGTTCTCTCCAATGGCAGTGAGAGCAGCACATTGGTTCTTTCCCCCCTCTCTCTTTCTTCCTGAGAGTTTTACGGTTGAACTGTGGGTTCCTCACGTCTTTATCTAAAGCTGGATATGTGAAGCTTCCAAAATCAGCTACCAAGAATAGGAGTAAGGAAAACAGTCAGTTTGGCCTCCCTGCTTATGCTTGTATGAAACAAGTGACAGCTTCGAAGTTCCATAGTTCCATGTTCTAAAAAGGCAGACCTTCTCAGCATGTCAACTGGGGCCCCCAGGATCTCTTCCTTACATGTGACAGAGGAGGCTCCTTGCATCTACTGCAACTGGTGGAACCCTAGTCAACTCTATCTGTATCTAGGATATGCGCAGTGATTAGATACAAAGTCCTCCAGCTACCTCATCCAATGACTGACTCCCTTTCCAATATCCATTCGTCCAAATATCTCACTCTATAACAATATTTTAGACTTTTTTTAACCCAACAGGTCAACTACAGAATAACTCCAGATCGGATCTTTCTCAGCTAATGTTAGCAAGATTTCTTTCTGGGCCACTTTCTGGGTGGTCCAGAGCAACCTTAAGTTTGAATCTGGGGGCTTTGAATCATAGGGCTTGACAGGGTCTTAGAAATCATCAGATCCGGTTTTCAATCCAGAGTTTCATCCTTCTCTCCACCATTCCTATGAAATGGCCACCCAATCTTTGTTTAAACACCTCTAGTGACAAGGAACTCATTGTCTCCTGAAGCAGGTAGCACCAAGCTTTCATGTTGGGGAGAGGATGGGATTCAGGGCTCATGTCAGAGTAAGCGGAGGCATCATTTTGAGTAGTGTGATTTCATACTAAAACTTACGACCCACCCCAAGCCCTACTAGAAACATCAGTTCCACAATTATCTGCCCACTGATGCCTGAGGTGCCTTTGATAGGGTCCAAGCATTTCTTTTGCCAGTTAAAAAGCAATCTGTTCTTATCTGCCACGTAGAGTTCCCACTAAGAGAGAAATAACTAATTCTAGATTTTTGGAAAGCCAACTTGTAAAAGTCTTTCACTTGAGGTGGGGAGTGAAGCAAGAAAAAAAAAAAAACGGCTCTGGGGAGTGTGGCTGGGGGAAAGTTCACAAAAAGGCAAGGCTGGGTGCATGAAAGACAAACTTTGCTGACTTCACGTTTTCATGTTGGCCAGGCCCTGACACCAATGCAGCCACATAGCCTAAAAGTATCTCGACCTCAATCATCACACTCCAGTTTTTGAAAAGACACTAAGTAGTCATTTGTTTACTTGTTATCTCACAAACATTTTCCTGTTGCCGCCTTTTCATAGCGCCACATTTCAGCTCAAATGGAAAGTTGAAGCCCGGCGGCCCATGTGAGCAATTCGAGGCTCAGGTTCCCCTTGGGGCTCTGTGACCTACGCCCTCACATCTGGCAGCTGAGCTGAGCCTACAGCAAGACACTTGACAGTAAAAACAAATTCCTTTTAGGGAAGTAATGAAAAGGAAGGGCCCTATAGACAACTGATTCCAGGAATGGGAAGGAGCACAGGACTTTGAGAATGAGAAGATGTGATAATATCACTGTCTTCCTCCGTTGCGTTCAGAGTATATGAAGAGAGATGGAATGAGTTGAGCCCAGCATGTGACTGTGATCTTACACTTTCGACTCTTGGTATAAGCCTCAGACTCTTTGGGTGACCTCATACTGGCCAGTTAAGCCCTCTAGGCCTTTTGTTCAGTCACTTTGAAATGGCAGCCGTAGCCTTTATTCTCTTCCAACATGTGTTGATGGAAGTCTCTGTTAGCTTCTTTAAGTACCTCTAGCCTTCCTGCAGTTTATAAGTGAAAAGAAATCTTTTAAGAAGTGTTGCATTTGCCTTTGGACATCGGCAACATTGGGAGATTACCTGTGTGTTTCCTAAATGCTGATTATTCTAAATAAACAGGTTGTGTAGGACAACCATCAAGAGAAGCTCTTTAGCCCATTGAAAAGGATAACAAAATTTAAAATATCTAAGGGTCTTTTCAAAGTCTGGGATCTCTCTCCTAACATCAAACTTACTCTTACCCTTGGCTATGAGATTTCAGACCAATTTTATTCTAATAGATGTATACCATCCCTTTATGTTTAATAATATACCATACACCAGCTCCCCGGGTAGAATCATCTCCTCATTCAGCACTTTTTGTCAATACCTGTCAAAACCAGGGAGGTCAGGGTCATAGCAAGGATCAGTATCACAGCCTCTGGCCTGGAGAGAGCACCAGAATGGAGATAATAAGGCCCAAATTTTGTTTCCTAGTTCTCCCCTGGGCTTTCTGGGCTTTCAGCTCATCTGTCAGAGCCATGGGTTCCCAATCAGTATGATGGAATTAATGACAGGATCCGAGTTTATATGATAATCCTCACCAGAAACAGGCAACAGAGTAATGACAGATGCCAGATGAATGATACCTCTAACCCCCCATAGCAGAGCCCCTGTCAAAATAACCTTTTGCAATGATTCTTCTTTTAGGATATAATGCTAAGCAAAGAAGAGGAAAAGAAGAAAGAAAAAAACTTTGCAATGCAAAAAGGTAGGTTGCTATTCACCAATTTCTAGAAATGCTTGAAAACTAAAAGGAAGCTTTAGGCTGATCATATTGGACAGCCCAGTGTTGAATCAGGGAACTTTTAGCCTTGGAAATAAAACACTAGCACAGTTGTCAGATTGACACCTTCTCTGGTCCCTGTGATTTAGAAAGACTTTATATGTATGTATTTATGGGGAAGGCTGACAATACCAAGTATGAAGAAATCCCATTATGTTCAATACCCAAATCAAAGCAACCATACAGCCTGGTACCACCTACAGAGGATGAGATGACAGGAAATTCATCCTTTGGTAGCAGTGGTGTTCATCGCTCAATAACTGTTATTCATAGGGAACAGAGGCCGGTGGAGTGACAGTGTGGCAACATTTGATTCTTTGCACTGTATGTGAAGTCAGAGTGTCCTGAACATCTCAGGGTTGGAAGGGACCTTGATGGGTCTCAAATCGAGCACCATCCCCAGAAAACAAATCTCCTTCACAACAGCACTGACCATCCGGCCTCTGATCAAACATGTCTAGGGATGAAGCACCTTCTACTTCATAAGGCAGCCTGGTTCATCTTTGAACGGCTCCAACAATTATAGTAAGAGTACTATACTACTGGAGAGAAGTCTTTACTCCTCTTCAGTTTTATTTGTTCCTGTAATCTCCAACCACTGGACCCAGTTTTGCTCTTTGGGGCTGTACTAAACTACTGATCTGGATGCTAAAGGGTTCTCTAATTCCCATGAAGTTTTCATCTTCAGAACGATGGCAAGATATGTTGAGTGGTACCATGTTGTCTGTTCATTATAGTGAAATTTGAGGAAACAGTTCCTGTGGATGCTGCCTAGCAGTCTTCAGGAAAATGATACGCTTAACCAAACTGGTCATTCAGGTCATGCAACCTAAATGCAAATGACAACATTTATAAACATTTATAGGGCACCTACAAAGTGCCTGGCACGAGGCTCATAGTTGGAAAAAAAGAAACTCCCACACAGTCTCTGCACTTAGTAGATGGGCACATCTAATTAAGGAGCAAGCCTTTTACAATTATAGATAGATACAGTAGTTTGGCCAGTTGCTTGACCAAATCAGACACCATAAGCATCTTACTAGTTAAGGGTGGACAGGAAGGGAAGGGGGTTGGGGAGTGATTGGTTGGGTAAGGGGCATAAAGAATAATTACTATTTGTAATAATGAATATTCTAATAAAAATATTTTTAAAAAGTGTGCAGACACAACCTTGGGGCCCACTAAGATCCCCAATGTATAGGACTTGGTCCTAAAAGCAAGATTCAAGGTATGTCTAACAGAGACCAGTGTTTTTAGCCTGTGTCAGTCTATGTAGAGTATAATTGAGTATTGAACAACTGTGGGGAGGATAGGATTAATGGAAACAGCCAATTCAATTATTAAGATATTAGAAACCAACTTTTCCTTCAGGGGAGGGATTTCAAACTGTTTTATCCATCTTTTTACATAACCTGTGCTAGCATAGCCACTATTGCACAGTTGTAGAACTAGATCAAATAGTTCTGTGGGCAGTTTTGTATTACCTTGGCTTGACAGTTTGCTATTGGTTTCATTTCAGGTGATCAGGAACCTCAAACTGCAGCACATGTCATAAGTGAGGCCAGTAGTAAAACAGCATCTGGTAAGTCCCATAGCATCTGAGCATCAGCCACCCAAGGGGGAAGGCTGGGATGCCAAAGCAATGCAGCCTAACGATTGGGCTCCTCTATTCCTCTGGGGCCCAATTTACAAACCTACCCATACTCCTCTCATACGCTCTCCTTTGTCTTCAAAGTGAGCTCAAATGCACAGATGGGACTTAGAGCGACAAAAGGAGGTGGGAAGCAATCCTAATGTTCTCATTACGTTCTTGCTCAATGGCTGATTCTAAATGATCAATTACTGGGTGGAGGGACCATTATTCTGACAACATAGAAGAGATGGCAGTTAGTGACCTCCTGCCTGGGAGCATCCCTCCTCCTGACCCTTCTACACTGTGTGTAAATGGGCCTCAGGCACTATTTTCTGCCATCGGTCAATCCCTGTATGATTAACCCCAGCCTCAATAGGGCCAACCTCAGGGAAATTAAAAGTAAAATCATCCTGTAAAGATCAATAGGTGCCAAGATGTTAGATTTTCCAATGAAGTAACAACAGACGACACACTGTGATCTTTTCAACTATGAACGATTTTATTTCCATATGCATTCTGCCATCATTCTAGCCCTTAGAGGTTTTATTTATTTATTTTTTTACCAAATCTGTACCTTGCAATAGCTGGTGCTGGAGAATGTGTCACATCTGATAAATGGATGGAAACATGCACGCTAGCATAAAATCCCCCATCGACATAAAGGCAAGAGCATCAGAGCAGTCTTTGAAAGAGTTAGCAGAGTGCTCTGGAATGGAGTTCTAAACAGTGTGTTAGTATGTGTGTGCGTGTGTGTGTGTGTGTGTGTGTGTGTGTGTGACAGAAAGAGACAGATTGAGTGAGAGAGAAAAGACACAGCTTCTTCTCTGAGGTAGCTTGAGCTTTCAGTGCTTGTAACACATGTACAGATATCATGGATCACAGTGTGGGACTAAGAGCACTGGATAGGTAGTTTTTGAACACTGGGGTTCAGTAATCATGGCCACCACTTGCTAGATGACCTTGAGCAGGTCCCTTTACCTACACAGCAGTTTCCTGCCTCGTCTACTTCACAGGTTGGCTTTGAGATCAAATCAGCTAATGTGGGAGAAAGTTATTCTGTTGAGTGCTGTACAAATATAAGGTGCCACGACTTAGCTTACTTTACTGTGGTTTAGATGTCAAAAGAGTGACACAAAGTCTCTCATTAATACTAGTTATTCCCACAATATTTAATAATTCTGTGAAGTACCCCTTTCTCAGAAATACACTTATGGGAGACCATCACGACTATATTGCCATATCCAGGGTAGCCACGTACATGACACCTTCTCTTTTGGATTGGATGACAGCAGAGAAATCTCCTAGATGAATAGCTTCCACTGGTCTTCGTCCACCTGTATCTAATTCCTTGCCCCTGAATATATTTCATGGATATATATTTGACTATATTTCATGGATATATATTTTTTCTCCCAAAAAGCTCATAATTAATATTGGTCCTACAATATCTTACAGTCTGCATCACAGTAGGTCTGCAGGGGATCAGGTTGGAAGACAGTAACATTCCTCCCCCAGTCCCAAACTCTCATTCCTACCTATAGTCATGCTGCTAAAAACTTAACCTACATCCCACAGCAAGGACTAAAATAAGGTAGGGACTTACCAAAGTAAACTTACTGGACTAAAGATACAGAACCTGCCCTTTTTTCTCAATAAAATGATCCAAAAGTGAAAACATCATAAAGAAGCATCATTTCTGGAATGATCTGGGGCCCAGGTATGTCAGGCATTTCAGGATGCCTTCCTGTTACTCAAGGATGAGTCTTAGCAGGTAGGATCTTGTGCCTGATAGACCTACGACTAACAAATAAGATTCTTTAAAAAAAGCTCCAGGAAACAAATGCATCAATCTTTTCACCTCTCCCCACCTGCCCCAACCCCGCCAGTCAGTCTAGCTCTGTGCAGTAACTGAGATTTGATATCGGGTGCACACACTACTTTGAACCCACTCAACATCTCAGCCAAGAAAATGGCACATTGTTGGTGGGTACACCAGCTCAGCCACAAGAATACAGGTACTTTCAAGTTGGTGGCGCCCACTACAATGGGAGATCAAAACACACAGTGAAATGAACACACAGTTTATTTTCATACTTCCTTGTCTAATTTTAGTTCTTGCTTTGGGAGGCAGGTCAAGTTTGCAACAGCATGATCAGGTAGGAAGAAATGGGGTCTTTTCTCTGTGCTGAGGCTGAGCTAAGTAGACTGACAACTCTTTGACTTTGTAAATTTCAAGGCAAGCAAACTGTCGATGTTAATATTAGCAAGGATTTTGTCTGAATAATTTGGTATGCATATTTTATGATGTGGAATTTTGAAATCATTTGCACTTTCTTAAGTTCAAGGGCAAATTGACTTAACAACTGTAAATAGATAAGGAAACTCAGTGTGATCTGTTACTTTATGTAATCTTCACAAGTCTCTGAAATACTCTCTAATATTAGCCCCATGTCATAGATGAGGAGATTAAGTGAATCAAGTCTGGACTGGGACCTGGCTCTGTGTGCCTCTAAACCCATGCTGATCCGTTAACCATAACTCCCCCATAGATTCTGAGGGCCACAAGGGCACTCGAGAACCCATTCCTATACAAAGCCAGTATCCAACATTCAACTCTATTTTCTGTTAGAATGGGAACCATGCTCTGCTTCACCTCACCATAAGTCTTCACTCTTTTTGTTACAGTTCTACAGTGGGCAGAAAAAGGATATTACACCATGAGCAACAACTTGGTAACTCTCGAAAATGGGAAACAACTGACCGTTAAAAGGCAAGGACTCTATTATATCTATGCCCAAGTCACCTTCTGTTCCAATCGGCAAGCTTCGAATCAAGCTCCGTTTATAGCCAGCCTCTGCCTGAGGTCCACAAGTGGATCCGAGAGAATCTTACTCAGAGCGGCAAATACCCACAGTTCCTCCAAACCTTGCGGCCAACAATCCATTCACTTGGGAGGAGTATTTGAATTGCAACCAGGCGCTTCAGTGTTTGTCAACGTGACTGATCCAAGCCAAGTGAGCCATGGGACCGGCTTCACATCTTTTGGCTTACTCAAACTCTGAACAGCATAACCTCACAGGCTGCGGCTGAGCTGCCGCTGGCAGTCTTCATAATACAGCAAAGCAGTTAAGACCACCCCCTGTTGAACTGCCTATTTATAACCCTAGGATCCTCCTCATGGAGAACTATTTATTATACACCCCAAGGCATGCAGAGCTGTAATAAGTGAATTACAGGGTGGGCGAAACCAAAACAGGCCCTGCTCCATAAGAGCTTACATTCTGAAGCAGCAACCCCACTGATGCAGACCTCCAGAGAGTCCTGTGGAAAGACAAGGCCATTATGCACAGATCGAATTCTGAGTAAACAGCGGATAATTAGACAAGCTCAGTTTTGTTTATTTTTGTTTGTTTGTTTGTTTGTTTGTTTGTTTTTTGCATGCAGTGGATAATGTAGTTGATTTATCAGTGAAGATGCAGAAGTGAAATGGGGAGCCTCAGCTCACATTCAGTTTATGGCTGACTCTGGGTCCCTGTGGCCCTACTGGAGGGGGCCAGGCTCTAGAAAGTCTAAAGCAGTGGGGAGTTGAAAGACTGCCCCCACCACCCACCCTGACACTCATTCAGTCTCTCTCAATCTCACGCTATCTCTCTGTTTCTCTCAATCTTTCTTACTCAGTATCTCTCCCTCAATCTTTCTCTTGATCTCTCTCAGTCTCTCTCCATCTCTCTCTTTGAATCTTTCTTTCTCAATCTCTATTTTTCTGTCCATCTCTCTCAATCTCTTTCAATCTTTCTCTTTCTCAATCTTTTCTTTCTCTCTGTCTCTCTTAATCTTTCTCCATCTCTCTCTCTCTCTCTCTCTCTCTCTCTCACACACACACACACACACACACACACACACTCAGGCTGTTGCTACTCAGTTATCTCATTCCCATCTTGACCTTATCACCACCACCGTAGATGAGAGGGGGAGCAGAGAGAGCAGCTCCAAGCCTGCCCACTCCTCATCCTGATATGACTGTATTTAAAGGAACCTATTGTATCTACCCGCAGTCTCCATTGTTTCCAGAATGAATTTGTGATTATCTTGTTATTTATTTTTTGAATAATAAAGATCCCTTAACATTATTGATGTTGTTTAGTGCCTAAAGCTTTCGACAAGATTGGAGGAAGAGGAAACATCTGGGGAGAATTTTCCCAACTTTGTGATGTTTTTATAAACTTGGTTCTCAAGCTTGTTACACCACAAAATATCTTGGTGACAGCACACTCCCTGGAAGTCTGTGATACCCTTTGATGGATGACATGGAAGCATATTCAGTGAAAAGCAATCTGGGTCTTTATTTCCAGCTTGCTGCAATAAGGTTGCAGGAGATTGAGAAGGAATTTTTTCTCCCTGATTTATCACAGCTAAGTGAGGCTGGAGGGAGGATCTTAAATAAGAAGCAGTAGTGTATCTTTTTAATGGCTGCCTAGGTAGTTCCATCTTAAGCTAGAGGAAATGGAGCTGGGACAACCTGAAGGGAAGTATTGGCCTCACAGTCTTCTACTGACGCCAGTGGAGCCATTTCTTATCACCTCTAATAGAGCAATTTTTCATGGAAGAGATCCAGAGTGGCTTCTTTATTTTTACTGGTAGAGTGCTTTGCTTAAGACAAGCACCACATTTTTATCTGAAAAAATGATTACTGTAGGAATAGGAAAGTGGGGTGATGGGGGGTGAGGTCAACTCTTCAGTCCTGTGGATAGCACAGTCCCTTCCTGGTTGAGTGACTCTGAAGACCCTGAAGCATGAACATCTAACTTGCTTGGCTGCATACTTTCTCTAACAAGAGGACTTTGGTGTGAGCGGGGATGACATTTGTTGATGCAGAGACTTATTAGGGATATATATGTCCATAGTACTAACTTGTCCTCCAGGAGCAAAGATTCTTCTACAATATCAACTTTTTCAAAATTGTTCCAATAAATGATAAGGACTTGAGTACATTTCTGATCTACCTGAAATATTCTGATCATAAATTATCTAATTTTGTTCCATTTTTATAAGCATGTCACTTTTGTGTGTGTGTGTGTGTGACCGGTAAGAGGATCACAACCCTTGGTGTGGTGTCACCCGCACCGCGCTCAGCCAGTGAGCGCACCGGCCTTCCCTACATAGGATCTGAACCCGCGGCAGGAGCGCCGCTGCACTCCCAGAGCCGCACTCTCCCGAGTGAGCCACGGGGCCAGCCCATAAGCATGTCACTTTTGCATTCCTTCTAAGGAGGGGTTCACACAGGGCCTGATGCCAGTGTGTTGGAAGCTGCACTGCCTTAGGCATTCATAGCAGTCTGAAGTACTTTGAGACACAGACCATGGCACTAAGTGTGATTTTTGTCATGTTATTTTTCTCTGTGAACCACATACCCATTTAAGAAAAAAAAAAAAAAACAAATATTCATTGTAGTGTAGTGGTTAAGTGTAGAGTGAGACAGATATAGTCATAGTCTAGGATCCACTATTTACCAACTTTATAACCATACACAAGTCATTTCACCTCTTCTGAGTCTCAGTGTCCTCATCTGTAAAGTGAGAATAATAAGAATACCTATTTTGCAAAGTTTATAAAGATTCAATGTGATTGTCCACAGAAAGTCCCTAGCAGAGTTGGTTCTCTGGAGTAGAGCATAACATAGAAAGCGCTAAGGTGGGTCTCCACATGTTGCTGAGCAGACCTGTGTGCACCCAGTGTTGCGAGGAGACAGGATGCCTTGAGAACAAGGAGAATGCCTGGCAACCCACATACACATGAGCAACCTGGCCCATGTGGTAGACCAAAGACCACACCCAATGTGAAGCAAAGTGAAAGCAAACAAAAAGAAAAGGCAAGGTTTGATTATGGAAGGACATACACATAATATTAGAGTAGATCTGTGTGTAGCAAATCTTTTTTACAGTTTCATTGTCAAAAACAGTTAACCACTGGGGGCTTGAGGTTGCCAAATTTTTCAGTAGGCTTAAGCCTATTTATTTAGGAAGGTTTGAAAAGATTATAATCATTGATTCTCAATCGAAAGGACATCACACAAACCTACTGCTTCTGTACCACACTTCTCTGAGCAACACTAGGCAACTCAGCAACTCTCAGTAAAATCAGTTAAATATGTAGTTTTTTCCCCATTTCTCCATTCTGGAGTTCCACTGAGCTATCTATAAATCCACATTTTTCCTGTTAATGTAATCTCATTTAAAGCCCAATAATTTTTGGTCACAAGCTGTACTCCTATCTTCTGTACTTCTCTGACTGCAAACTTCTTTGGAGTCTAAAATGCAACCTTTTAGCACATCTTATCAGCACCACACTGTCCCGAGTGAGCCACAGGTGGGCCCAGCACATCTTATGTTTGATTCACATTTCTTGTACTGGGGAGTTAAAGAATTTTTTCATCCATCCACCCACCCATCCAACACCGATTGAAGTTATACATTCTATACTATGCATTTGGGGTATACAGAGATAAATACGAACCAGTCCCTGCCCTAAAGCAGCTTACAGTCTTTTACAAAACACGTGTTGAAACATTTCAAGCCCAGTGTAAATGCTGCAGTAGGGTAAGGATTGGTGTTACAAGGGACACACAAGAAGCAAGGAGATGCCAAGTGCCAAAATTAGACAATGGCCATGAGGATGGAGAGGAGGAATTCAGGGAATATAGTAGAGTTAAAAATGGTAACATTTGATGACTAGATTTATAAAGCGTTATTGAACATTTATAAAGGATTGAGGGAGAGAATAGAATAAAGGATAATGCCCGTGCTTCTAGCTGGGGCAACTAAGTGGCCAAGGGTGCTGTTCACTAGGATGGGAAGCATTGGAGGAGTAAGTTTGGGAATAGAGATGAGGAGTCCAGTCTTGAATATGTTGAGTTTGAGGTGCTGTAGAACACCCAAGCTGAGATGTCCAGAAGGTAGCTGCATCCATGGGACTGGAACTCAGGGTAAAAGTCATAATGGAAAAATATGGACACAGGAGTCCTCTGCATTTTGGCAAACGAAGCTATAGAAGTAGACAAGGCTGTCCAGGAAGAGGCCGTAAAATGGAAGAGAAGAGGAAAAGAGTGTTGGGGATCAGCCATGTTCAACGTATAGACAAAGGAAACTGAGGGGTGGTCAGAGAGGTTGAATTAATACCAGGAAAGTGTGGGATCACAAAAATCAAGGAAGGAGAGATTGATCAGGAAGGCAAATGTCAAATACCACAGAAAGGGCAAGATGGGTGTTGAAAATCATCCCCTGGATTTGTCAATTAAGAGCTCCCTGGTGACTTCACAAGAGTGGATGTCTGAAGGTAGAAGCCTTAGTTAGCAGGCACCAAGTGCAGAGAAGGAAATGTGGTAGAGAGCAGGGGTCTGAGAGGCAGATAGAACAAGGCTTCAAATCCCAGCTCCACTATGTACTAGCATGTTGTTCAACATTGCTGCACCTCTGTTCATTTGTAAGACGGAGATAACAACAGTGAATGCCTCATAGAGTTGTTGTGAGGCTTACATGAGCTCGACAGTGTAAACCACTTAACACAGCCTAGCACACGGGAAGTGCAAAGTCACATCTATTGATTGGTTCAGTCTGGGAAATATTAACCACTGAAATTTTCTTGGGCAGAAAGGTAATGAGGTGTCTACAAAACCATTGGGCTAAAGAAGCGGAAGTCAGGGGCTGCCACTGGACTAATGGCTTCAAAGTCATACCACTGCAATTGTGATCCAAATGTTAGCAAGCTGCTGCTGCTACTACCACCACTACTACCACTACAGCCTCTCACCCACAAAGCTTGAGTAGATGCACTGTAATGGGGAGTACAGAAGCCACAAATATGTCTTTGGAATTGCCTGCCTGCCACCAAGCCCCAAGATGACAGCCTCTGCCTAACTTAGGCCTTCTAAACCTTGTTGGCCGAACTGAAAATGTATCAGAACCCACACTGTATCCAGAACCCTAGCTGCAAGGGAGTCTGGGAAATATATTTTTTAGTGTTTATGTTTTGGAGAAGAAATATAAAAGGGGTAGGAATGGATGCTGAGTAGCAGATAATTTCCAGCTCATCTATCTTGAAACAGAACAAATATTTTCATCCTGACTGCTGACACCAACATTCCAAACTGTGGTCAAAATATAGATTATCTCAGATTGACAAAATCCTGCAAAGTATAAAGAGAGATGGGGACAAGATCATGGGATAAGCCTGAATAGGAAAATGGATGTATTTTCCTCTAATATTGGAAGGAAAATGGTGAAAAGTGGTATAGACAATTTATAGGTTGGGGCCAGAAGAAGAGAGGTGGAGACATTAAGGAAGCTTCTATCTTGTGGCATGTATTATCTCTGTAAAGCAGGGAGCAAATGTCATCTGCCCTAAGTGGAAAAGGTAGAGGCTGGCTACAGGTCCTGATGAGAGTGGACAAGCTAATGAGAGAAATGGCAGAGGAAGGTGACATGGCACAAGAAATCTTTCTGCACACTGGCTAGCATAAAAAAGAAACAAAGGACTTATTTTATAAAGCACTGTTTATTCTTATTTATTGAAAATGTCCATTTTAAAAGTCTTCAAAATAAAAACGAGTTAGAAAATTTGAGCTTGGGACATGACAGAAAAGGAACTGAAAGGCCTCTAAGGGCAGCAGTTTCATTACAGGGTAACAGGAAACCATTTATAGAGGATTGTAAACAACACAACTACGGAGACACTGCTCTCAGGTTAACATGGCTTCATTTCCTTTATATTACTGTTTAGTGTGTAAGAGCGGACACCATTCTGCACAAACATCATTACCCAGAGTACCAAGGAGGGCTTCTCCTCAGAAGGGCCAAGTCCTAAAAACATGCATATGTACATATCACTTTAAAATAAAGACCTTTCAATATTTTTAGCAATCAACTAAGGTATTTTGTAATCACAAAAACATTTCCTAGGGACATAATTTGCACATTTATTACAAGCCATTGACTAACCATAGACAGAGCAGATGCAAAGATCTGTGTTGGTTTTGTTGTTTTTAATTTTTAGGTGAAGGATGTCACATCTAAACCGCTGTGCTTAAAAGAACACCAGCCATTCTTAGAAATCTACTCTTCAGCTTCCAAAGATGGTGGTGTGTGGTTGGTTGATGTTGAACTGCAGGAATTGGTCCATTTCCTGTGGATGGTGTAATTTCTGCTGTGCAGCTAGCAGACAACAGTCCTGTACCATGTAGCTATGGAACCTTGAGACCCACCGTACCAGAAATAAAAAAGGCTCCTCAGCAAGCTATTGGGTTCAAGTTTCAAGTTTGGTTTCTAAAGAACATTTGCAAAACCCACATTTACAGAGACCCATCAAATGTATCTGGAAGACAACTTTGATTAGTCCATTGGCCCCTTGCTAGTCTTTCTGGTGACCTTCTCCACCCAGCTGAACTTCCCCTCTCTTTGGGGAAGGAAGGGGCAGGTTGCACAGTTCTGTCCTACAGCCTTGGGCTGACTTCCAATTTGCTGAATTTGGATGTGCACTGTTCTTCTATGACTCTGTCCTACACCTAGTTTCTCACAGTTCTAATTTCTGGGATACTTACAAAGTTGATGGTTTGATTCAATGAGCAGCTTGAGTAAACCAGTTCCAAGTAATCAGCTTCACTAATAACAGCTATTAGAGGGGGCCTTTCATTCTGGAAATACAAACTGGACAAACAGCACATTTTTGCAAATAATACTTAGAGTTCTACTCAGACAGGATGATGAATATTACAACTTCTCACAGCATATATAGAGAGCAATAAAGTGAATGAAAGCTGTCTACCAGGACACCATATCTCCTCAATGCACACTGTTTTTGAGGATGAAAGGTTGCAGTTTAGATATGCAATGTAGATAAAGTAACTGCTCACAGTCTAACTACATTTTTTAAAAAGTAAGCAAAGGACATACATACTAGTTTACACACTGCTCGGTATGGTTGGCTAAAAGCACTGGGGAAATAGAAAACTTACACCGAGGCAGAGGCTAGGGGAAAAAGCTGTCATGCATTGGGAAGAGACGGCCAACTCTGCTGAAGGGGAGGACTGGCCAATGCAATTCGCTGATGGATGTGGGGTTGGCCTGGATGACCAGAGCTTCTGCCTCACTGAGTTAAAATGTATGCCTACACAAAGGAGTAAGGTAATACAGTCTTCTTCATCTTACAGGCAACATTGGGTAGTAATTTTAAAAAGGCATGATTGAGAGGTGGTTCTTGACAGTCTAGAGAAGGGCAGCTGCATCAGGGCAAATGTGTTAGTCTTTCCTCCTACTCTAGTCATAGCTCAGGAAGCTCTGCTTCAGTGAATTAGGTTCTGAGGGGCTTGCAGGTACAGGAGAGCACTGTGGGAAAAGTTGGATTCACACGTAATAAGCCATGGCCAGCTGCTTTGCGACAGCAGCCAGCCCAAAGAACGTGACCCGAGGGCAATGGCTGTTGCAGAGGCACTGTGAATTGGAGGCCATCTCAAGACCCTGTAAGTCATTTTCCTGCATCACCTTTCCTTTTCTTATTGAATGGAAAAGACTCTGGGGGCACTTCCACCACTACCTCCTGCTTTTTTCTCCTGTTGAAAACAAACAACCAATCAATAACCAAACAACAACAAATACCCAGGCAAACACGCACACAAAGAGAAAGAGAAAGAGAGAGACTCAAACACAAAATAAAAGCCAAAGAAGTGAGCAAACTGAGTCAAATCATTCAGCAGGACATTACAAGATGCCCTGCAGGTACACTCTGCCCAGCTGCACAGTGACAGTTATGGAAGAATCGAGGTCTTGCTACTGGATTCAGCTCGAATACACTCATCTGTCTGCTTCAACAGCCGTCGAACCAGCTTTTCTAGGTCCCTTCTTGACTTCAATTCTTCTTCTAGGCATTGCTTCATTCTTTTATTCTCCTGGGATGGGAAAAGACTGGTTGACTACCAAACAGAGGGAGACCCTCCTACAGCTCCTCCTGCTCATCTTCTTGGTAGCCTTCCCCACTGACTGCACTTTCTTCCCCAAATCCTCTCCTTTAGCTTCTGAGACAAGGCAGCCTCTTGATTCTCTGACCCACCTTTTGCATTCTTCTTCCCTGAAATCCAAGCATTCTCTAAGGCTCTGACCCTCTTCTCATCCAACACTCTTTTTGATCAGGGACTCTTCTCTTTCAACCCAGGTGTCTATCAAGGGGCCTCCCAAATATCTCTGGTGCTAACCTCATCTCCTGAGCACCAGGTCCACAATCCCAAATGCCAATTTGGTATTTCCACCTAGATATATTACAAACACCTCATGGTCATTAGGTCCTAAAGTGAACTCAGTATCTCCCCTGCTACCCCAAACTTCTCCTCCTCCTGTGATTTCTGATCTCCATGTGGAGCACCCCCATATCAAACTAGATACCAAGGGAAGAGGCTTCATCTCTAATTCCTGGCTCTCTCTTGATTCCCACATCACATCACCATATTTCACAGATCTGAACTCTGCAATATGCCCTCCCTTGCATTCCTTCTCCTCCTCCATGACAATACTGGCTGCCTGAATTCAGGACTTCATCATGTCTAACCCTGAGTTTTGTAAGAACCTTCTAAGTGGTCTTCCAGTCCCTGATCTCTCTCCCCTCCCATCCATCCCTTACCCTGTCACCAGGGACAGTCTGTCCTTGCACACAAGGCAGCATGTGCATCGTGGAGCACTGCACCACACCTGCAGAGGAGCTCACAACCATGATTTATGGTTCTCTTTACATTTACACCCTCATAAATGACTTGTGTTTTCTTACAGTCTGCTTTACAGATATCAGGGAACAGGAAAGTCATAGCTAAGTTTGGGACCCTACTGCAAGATACCAGATAGGAATGTAAGCAAGCCCAAGACCATGAGGCAAAATCAACAAAACACACCTTGACGACACAAGGGAAATGAAAATTCCCCCTCACCATTTTGTTCCTGGACCTTTCCTGACAGCATCTACCAGTGTGTGGCAAGGAAGAGGGAGTGGTTCTATCATCAGAGAAAATGACTTTTATATTTTATTACCTGCTTCAGTTCTTTAACTTCATCCTTCAAGGCATAAACAGTATCGACGAGGCTCCTAAAACATAAACGTAAAATTCAGAGATGAATGGCTGTCACTGAAGTATTGTTAAGTAATAAAAGCAGCTTTATAAAAATGCCGATTCTGAAAAGCAGTGGACATTCTAGCTGATCAGGAATGGTGCTGCTCTGAATAAGCCTCATGTTGCTCATCGTTCAGGGAGAATAAGCACCACTTCACATGCTAATTGAAATGCCAGGTCATGGCACCTTTTCTGTACTACCTTCCTCCTTTGCTACTTGCTCCCCAGCTTGGGAGAGTTGAAGAACAAGAAACTAGGGCCCATCATAAGGTTTTTCTTTTTCCAGCTTTATGAGGTAAAATTGACAAATAAAAAGTGTATATATTTGAGGTACATAACACGATGTTCTGATATACATACACATTGTGAAATGATTACCACTATCAAGCTAATTAACACATCCATCGTCTGACACAGTTACCATTTTGTGTGTGTGTGGTGAGAACACTTAAGATCTACTCTCTTAGCAAAGTTCAAGTATACAGTACAGTGTTGTTAGCTATAGCCACCATGCTGTGCAGTAGATGCCCTGCCTACTCTACAATATTTGTGTTATAGCATCTCCCCTCTCACCCCTCTGACCCTACATAACACCACATGACACAAAGTCAGAAGCATTATTTCAAGAGGTCCTATATGTTATCAAAAAAAGGATGAGGCATGCTGGCTGACTTGTGGAACAGTCTTTTCCTAGAAAAAGAATGTTTTGCCCTCTCCCTGGACAAGGACTTTGGAGATCTGAGTTCCAGCTATGATCCTGCCACTTTTTAGTCCTCCAACCTTCGGTAACCAGTTTCTTTCTCATACTCTCTTGGTCTTAGTTTCTTTACATATAAAATGGGTATAATACCACATTTCCTGAAAAACTCACAAAGTTGTGAAGATTAATATAGCTATGATAATAAGAATTAGTATAACTATCATTATTTATTGAGTGCCAGCCTTTATACTTATCATTCCATTTAACCTCACAACAATTCAAAGTATTACTGTCATCCCCATTTTACAGATGAGAAAACTGAGGCACAGAGAGTTAAAGAAATTTGCCCCAGGTTACACAGCTAATGGGTAGCAGAATTGGGTGTTGAACCAGGACCCTTCTTGAGCCCAAGTGCTTTACTTTTTTGCTGCATCATTTCATACACCAGATGTAAAAATACATTGACAATATCATGCACTTCGAAATATGCTGTGCTATGCAAATTTAGGCATGACTTCAGAAATGACTCAAGTTTAAACAAATTATTTGACTACTTTGCGTTTATTTTGTGAGCTGTAAGGTACTTAACCTGATTTTCCCCCATTAGGTCACACTCATTACTGTGCACAGGTAAGCCAGAGACATCATTTCCCTGAACCTCAGTTTCCTCATCTGTAAAAGTAATGAGAATAACACATCTCACTGGATTACTGTAGGATTTTAAATGAGGTCAAGTATGTGAAATCCAACTCCTGACTCAAAAAATATGAGAGGCATATGCTATGGGTTAAATGTATCCCTCAAATGTTCATGTGCTGGAAAACTGACTCTCATTGTTACAGTGTTAAGAAGGCGGGAAATGTGATTATGGTATTTGAAAGGTGGGGCCTTTGAGAGGTGACTCGATTGTGAGGACTCTGTCCTCATGCACAGATTAATCCATTCATGGATTAATGGGTTCATGGTTTAGTGAGTTATCATAGATGCAGAGTGGTGGCTTTATAAGGAGAGCACATGAAAGAGCTCTTGCCATCCTCACCATGGGACATCCCGTGTTGCCCTGGACCTGTGAAGGGAGTCCCCACCCAGAAGAAGACCCTCACCAGATGTGCTCCCTGGATGGTGGACCTCCCAGCCTCCAAAACTATAAGAAATAAATTTCATTTCTTTATATATGATCCAGTTTGAGGTATTCTGTTATAAGTGACAGAAAATGGACAAATACAGCATTCCTCCAGGCAGGGAAAGTGGTGCTGTGGTCTTCCCAGGCACCTCCTAAACGCATCTAGAGCACTGATATTCTCTTGTATCTGGAAGCAGCTTACTATATGGGGGAGCTGGCTGCAGGGACAGCCACCACGTCCAGCTGCTCCGGAGGGCTCTAGCCCCTCAGCCTCTCCTTCTCCCTTCCCTCTGTTGGGGGGACTGTCAAGAGCATGCTCAGCAAAGAGGACCCCATTCTCAGATGAGGAGGGGCTGATCCGCAGTGCATGCTTTACAAGAGCCACACTGCCCTGCCCTTCTTGCCGGCCTCCAGGCAAGCCAGGAAAGGTTCCGTCTGCTCTACTCACTTTTCTTCGATGATGGTCTGGCCATTGCTTCTGGTTTCTTCGATGATGAGTTTCTCTTCCTCAGGGAGTAAGACTTGTGGAACAGAATCTTTGCGAGTACCTATAAACAAGGGTTGCAAGAGGGAGGGGAGGAGAGAGTTACTAGTGAAGGCTACTTATCAGCGTTAATTCCTTACCACTGATGTTACAGAAAAGGCTTTGTTCATAGCACGTTGCTACCTTGCACCCAGAAGGCAGTCACCCGACACTTACTGGCTAAATCTTCCTGACTTGAATTCTAAACGGCCAAATACACTGATTCAATTTTCGGCAGGGGGTGAGGGGGTGGATTTCATATTCTGAGAAATAATGTGAAAGAGCCGTTGTAATACCTGTTCTCAGCCAAGACCCCCATACTTTCCTGCTTTGGCTCCCCCAGAGCCAAGAGCTGACCAGTGATCTCTCTGTCCATGCACATGTCCAGGAAATGACACATTACCTCCTATGCTATGGGGTTCTGTAATTTCAGAAAACTCAAGTTGGGTAGCACTTCACTGGGACACGACGTGCTTAAAGGGTCTCAGAAACATCATTCATGCTCATCTATTCTCTTTACAGTCCTATAGGGTAAGGTAGGGTCACTTAAGACCATTTTGATTAAGGGGAGAGTGGGCTTGGGAGATTATCACAACAGTAGCAAAGATGCAGGTGTCTTCATTGCTCTCTGCTCAGACTTGCTCCAGGCTCTGGGACAGAAGAGGTGACAGAACAGACATGGGGGCCCTACCAAGCAGCTCTCCTGCGTCTCCAACATCCCCCTCACTCTGGATCCTTCTTAGAGCTCAAGTCCTTAATCTGAGGTCTCCCTGAGCCGCTGGCCTCCTCTCTTCTAGGCCAAGTTCCTTCAGAGGTGCCTTCATTTGATGTCCCCCTTTCCTGAGGTGAGATGTTTCTCTGCCTTCCCCAGGGCCTAGCACATCAAAGGTGTTTCTTTCTTTTTTTTTTTAAAGATGACGGGTAAGGGGATCTTTACCCTTGACTTGGTGTTGTCAGCACCATGCTCTCCCAAGTGAGTGCACCGGCCATCCCTATATAGGGATCCGAACCCATGGCCTTGGTGTTATCAGCACCACACTCTCCCAAGTGAGCCACGGGCCGGCCCCCTATCATAGGCGTTTAATAGGAGGTCAGCAGACTGCCTGACTGGCCAACTGAATGCAGCGAGAGCCAGCAGTAGTCAGTTCTAGGGACACAGGACTCTGGCTAAAGAGGAATAGAGAATGGCAGGTCACCATGATGCTAAAAGGTATTCTGTGTGCCAAGCATGGCACTGGACCCTTTCCATGTGTAACAGGCAGGCTGGGGGGCGGGGTCAAAAATGTGCCTCTTTAGGCCAGAACACCTGCCTGTGCCTCCCAGTAGATCGAGCGACTCTATGGATGTAAAAAGAGGTGGTGGGGGAGGAGGCAAGGTCAGATTTCATATGAGGGATGCTTCTCTGGTGTCTCCTTGTCCCCCTCTCTTTCCTAGTATTCATGGTAAAAACTGTCCTCACTTTTCTCTCCTGGCTCCTCAAAACTTGTTATCAGAGCTGGACACGCCCAAAGCCACAGCCAGGTTTTTTCTGTGAAGCAGAAAGTGTGACAGTCCCCTCTTCATGATGAAATGTGTCAACTTTTACATCCAACATTTTCCTCACTACAGCCTTAGAGACATGTTACTTTGAAAGAATATGTCAAGGCAGTCCACCTAAGGAATCCCTCCCACACTCAAGGGATCCGTCAGTCAGTGGCTGTCCAAAATGGAGCCTTATGGAGTATTCATTTCTTATGCAGATGCAAAAACCTCACGAAAGGTATCCTGAATGTCTATAATAATGGAAGACAAAAGATATAATTGATGTGACCTGGCTTTTAAAAAGCCAAGGACGAATCAGAAAACATCTCGCTTTCAGTTTGTAATCTGAAAGTTGTTTGGGGAAATACCCTCACCTAATAGCTCCGTGATAAATTTTATACATTTTGAGCAACCCCTGCTAAGCAGCTACATTTCCAGACTTTCAGAGCAACTTTAAAACTTGAGTTTGGTGAAGCATTGTTTGCTTAAATATGTAGCTGATCAAAGATAGTATTTTGACTTCCTTTCCAAATCTGACTATAAGAAAAGATTAGCATCAGTTCACAGACACAGGAACTCTCTGGGCTCTTTAATTCCTAACTAGTGTTGGTGAAGGTATCTGTGTACTTCAAAGAAGAGTGACTTTTTAAATTTTTTTTCATTTCTATCACCTCCACCTTTTTTCCTCTTGCATCTCTCTTTCTCTCTGGGCGAAAAACAGCAGTGGGTGAACAAACCGCTTGGTAGCTAAAACCACCTTATCTGAAAGACGCAGTCCTGCCCCGCTCCTATGCATCAAGTCACCTGCTTTCTACACCCTGCAACCTATCTGGGTTGCTTTTCTCTTTTTCTAAGAGATAGTAAGCGGTAAAGAAGAAACATCATTCATTAGAGAAAGTAGTTTGGAGGAACCTACTTGAGCCATGACCTTGTTGAAAATTTGCACTGGTGCAATAGGCTTCGATCACTTTAAGAATCTGAGCATCCTCTTCCAGAGCAGCTGTACCTGTGAAATGTAATTAATAATGACTTTTTATAGATATATGCCTCTGGACCCTCAAAATAATGCTATGCACTGCACTGCTGGGGACTGGCTTCTCTGACCACTAAGTGTTCCTAAACGGCAGGAGAAAGAGCTATCCAACTCTTCTGATAGAGAAGAGTTCAGCACTGAGCACGGCCTGCTTCTGAAGCCCAGAGCTCTCAACTAGGGGGTCATGTCAGTCGTCTCTTAGAGGCCAAAATCAGCACAGGGCTTGGTCCTGGCTTCAGCTTTCACCCAATACACTACAGCCTTCCTCTCCCTTAAATTTCAAGGCTCATCTTCTCTAGGAAGCTTTCCCCCACTAACCCCACCCATCTTTCCAATCAGCCAGCATAGTCACTTATTCTCCTTCCTCCTTCCTCCCTCCCCCACGAAATCATTCTTGAAATGACTGGATGGCTGCACCTCGTTAACATGCTGAGGTGCACACCCAGGTGGGGGGTAGAGGTTGGGGCATGCAGAAGCTGGAGTAGAGGAAAGATTTAGCCAAACTACATTTCCAGCCGATGCACACAATTCTGCCACCTCTTTGTGAAACATCACTCACTTCTTCACAGGTGTCTCAAAGTACCTTGTTCCCAGCCTTATAGCCAAATATATCCATATTGATTGGTTGACTGACTTTGCAAACTCTAAGTCAAGCCAAGTTTCTAGATGTCATAGATAGACATCACTGAGCATCAGACTTCCAGAAGGATTTCAGCTTTCAGGTAGATGAGGGTATGTTGAAAAGTTAGTGGAAAAATAGAATTAGAAAATAATATGAGTCTTTCCATGAACTTTTTGAAGACCCCTCATATTTAGTCTATCTCTGTACAGGAAAATATCTTAGGCATCAGAAACTAAGAAGAAAAAAAGGTATCTATAGCAAGTGGGTTTCTTTAGTGGTTCTAAACCAGATGGGGCAAAATGATCAACACAAAAATGATACAGCTGGAGGCGGCTTATTCAAAAGTCTTAGAGGTGACCAAACCTTTCCACGCATTTTTTTTTTATGGGACAGATGATGCCAGGAACAGATTGCTCTAATCGTCTGCTTCTAAAAAATTCTCAGGTAAAAAATATAAAATTCTGTCAACTAGTACAGAGAGGTGACAAACGTTTGATGTGATGGATATGCTGGACACCCTGACATGATCGCTGCACAGTGTAGAAATATACCCAGATAGCACACTGTACTCCATAAATGTATACAATTATCATGGGTCAATTAAGAAAAAATAAACTAAAAAGGAAAAAATTTTTCAGATACAGGAGTACGTTAGAGGTTACCAGAAACTGGAGGGAAGGAATAATGAGAAGATATTGCTTAATGGGTACAGAGTTTGTGTTTAGAACGATGAAAAAGTTTTGGAAATAGATAGGAGGGGTGGTCACAGCATTGTGAATGTAATTAATTCCACACAACTGTATGTTTAAAAATGCTTAAAATGGCAATCCTTATATGTATTTTACCACAATAAAAAAATTAAAAATTAAAACAAAAAACTCAAAACAATTCTCATGTTAGTTCATCCGTAAATAGCTTTCAGAAAGAACAAAACACATACTTTTCCTAATCACATACTCCTCCTCTGATGGTTTTCTCTCGGTCTTTCTTTTATGAAGAAATTTCTTCATCGTTTTGGGGCTTTTACTAGATTCCTGTAAGGATAGAGGTTTCTTAATGAATTAAAATTCTTCCCCCAAAGTAAATTTAAAAGAGCAAATGAAATTAAATAGAATGCTTCTCTATTATTTTGACAGTCTCAGTTAGAAGCTCATCAAAATTTAATACTATATGCAATAAAAATGGCTCCAATAAAATCTAAAAGTTTAAATAAAAAATAGGCAATGACATTATCCTTTCAATTGCCATAGGGGTGGGAATACGAGTGGAGCATGCCTACTGAAGATGCGGCAGATTCTCCAGAAGGCCAAATGCCTTTAGGGTACCATCTGCAGAGACAGTACTGGAGGACAACCCTAAAAAAATAACAGTATTACTAACTTGGTTTATGTTCCCCACCAATACAGTTTGAAGGGACTTAAATAACAATTGTAATTACTAATGTAGTATTTATCACTTTTCAAAGAGCTTCAAAACTATTTAAATAATTCGTCTTTAGCAACAGTCCCAGAAAGAAGAATTTAATGTCCATTTGTCAGACGGGAAAATTAAGGCAGAGAGACTAAGTAATTTTCCCCGTCAGAGAGAAGAGCCCGGTGAAGGATTTCCTGGTAAATAATTTGGATTAGAAGTAACAAACTCACAGCCAAGCTTAACTATACATATATAAAGCCATATGTTTCATTAGGAAATAAAAGAGATGGTAATTATTGAATTGGCTTTTGCCACATGAATAACCAGCAGGTTGAAAAAAGTGCTCATTGTCAATATCCAAGTAAACAATTAGGATCTTAGACTTAGAAAAAAACACTCGTGATCATCTTATCCCAATCTTCCATGCAATGTATACACATGATGCATGGATAAAACTTGTACCTTAAAAATACATGCAACAAAGAATTTAATTTCTTTCACCTAGCCACAGTGATCCACTTAGACTTGAAAACAGACAGCCATGAAAAACTCACATGTGACAAAAATAACAGGAAAAAACAACATTAAAAAACAAAACAAGGGCCGGCCCAGTGGCGCACTGCTATAGTGCGCCGCTTGGGAAGTGTGGCGGCGCTCCCGCCGAGGGTTCGGATCCCACATGCAGACCGATTCCCGCTCACTGGCTGAGCGAGGCGCGGGAGCGACACCGAGGGTTGCGATCCCGTTGCCGGTCCCGGTCCGGTGTGGGGGCAACACTGAGGGTTGCGATCCGTTGCCGGACATGGAAAAAGACAAAAAGGAAAAAAAACAAAACAAAACAAAACAAAACAAAACAGGAAAATGGGCATTTTAAGTCATTATAGGAAAACATTTTCAAAAATATTTCACACAAGCCTGCTTTTTGAAGAAAGTACTTACATGTCAGAATTGCATCTTCATATTTTAGCCACCAATTATAACAAGGAACAAAACAAGCATAAGGGAAAGCTTCATTCATCAAAAGTTACAGCACAGCATTATGATGTCACTGTAAGCCAAAGATATTGTTCTACCCTTACCTTTAAGATATAAGACATCCTCTAAAATGAATATGTAAAGAAAGAGAAATGAGCGTGAGAGGTCGATGGTTATAATGACCAAATCCACTTATCAATAATTCTAAAACAACATTTGAAATGTTAGTGTTATCATAAATTCCACAGAGAAAACATCATCACATTTCCCATATTAGTTTCAGATGCAATATCATCATGCAAAAGCCCAAGGAATACAGTTCTGTGCAGAATAATAAATGCTGAAAATAACTGAAATACATACTACATAGTAAGAATATATTAATAACTCTCTTCCCCCAACGGAAACAAAGTGATCATGCCTTAGTTTTAATAGATTAGTTATGTGAAGGATTAAGTCAACTTTACCCTTCAAAGCTCACCTTAATTTGAACTTAGTAACTGACAATTACAAAAATATCCATCACTAAAAAGGGGACCTAGGTAACTATGAAGTGGCACTCCTGGTTTAGGTAATCAAAGCAGAATATCGGATGATTGCAGGTCAATTTTCAAAGCAAATCTGTGGGACCGTTTCCTGGCCAAATTCTGAGTAAAGGTACACAATAAAGTTTCAGCTCAAGGGTGATTTCTTCTATCATTTCGGGTTGAAAAGATCAAAAAAATCCTCCAGTGTTCAAATAGTGTTCTATCTTTACTGCACTAAAAGTTGGAGACAATAATTAATTGACACAGAACATTGGTGGTTTAAATCAAAACACACTCAAATGTGAGCTAAGTCTGCATCACTCATCAAAATGCACATTTGATATAGAGATGTATGCTGCCTTTGCACCATGATTTTAAGACTCATCTCATAACTGTCACAAACTTAATCTTTACTCAACAAGACCTATGTAAAGAACAGTTACTAATAAATGAGCATCGTTTCTGAAATCTGAAACGATTAGAAAGAGATGAGGGAAAAAAAAAAAACACTGTTCGAATGGAAAAGGTAACACTCCACACAATTACAGAAGCTAGTAACTGACATTTCCTGACTACAACTTCAAGAGGAAAATTTTAAAAAAGAGAACTTTAAAATCCCCACACTACCCAAATATCAAATGTCCTTTAAGGTTGTCGGTAGGAAGCCTCTTTTTAAAAGACATTTCTTTCATTAAATTCTTTTCCCTTTCTATCTACAGCAAATACCTCTTTCCTAGTTTGAACTCATGGCTTGGTCCCATAACACTTTACTAATTTGGTTTGATAGATCAGAATGATCCAAAATGCAGAACTGGGTCTGCTTGCTTGGAAATTCAAGTCTAATGAAGTGGCTTTTGTTGGAGATGTGTGTACATCGTTAACTAATTTAAAGGATTATCATAATCATCATAAAGATAAACCAGAGGCGCTTCTAGAAGAGACCAGGGAAATTTAGGCAGTGCATAAACCCTATGGATGTTCAATAAGTATTTGTAGATGAACAGTGGGGAGATGAAAAAATAAAAAGCAAAAAAATCAGTGAGTCTAACAATTCAAGATTGACTGACATATATCACCTATCATAAATTCTAGCACATTCCCACAGAACTATTTGCAAAAAGCTACAAAATTAGCTTGTCAAAAGCATTTTATACCACATGTAGCAAAATTACCTCTTTATAACCTAGTGCTGCTGATGGTCTAAGTGGAGGTGCAGGTCGTAGACAACTTAAGCTCCACGGTTTTATAATTTGAGGAGGCTCCAAGGGTCCTCGGGGCTGTCCAGTAGAGCTAAAAGACTGGGAAAATGTCTGATGAGATGTTGACAATCTGCCATCTGAACCCGACCTTGTGTCACTCAGTGAGAGAACAATAACAGCTTCACTGGATCAACAAAGCCAGCCATAGACAGGAGAAGATGGAAAAACAAAATTCTCCAGTTTGAGAACTCACACTTTCCAATCAAGATTATGGGATCTCTAAGTAATAACATAAAACTGACTCAACATCCCAGGATCCTGTCCTCTCTCTCTCTCTTCTAGAATTTCACTAAAAGCAGATTATATTTCCTCTGTAAGGGAGGAAAGTGGAGTAATAGTCAACATTTGAGTTCAGCCATGTGTCTGGCACTCTACTAGGTGCTTAAATAGATTACTTCACCAGAACAACCTAAGACATAGATTCAGCAAAGTGAAATAACTAGCTAGGATTGGGCAAAGCTAACACGTGAACCCAGATCTGATGCTAAAGCCAATATTCTTCCCACCACAACACACAGTGCTCAAAACTGGAATTTCGGCATCACAGGTTTGAGTGTTAACAGACAACACAGCGTATCTTCCATCTCACTCAGCAAGTACAGTAAAATCTCATCAATCCTATTCTGCGAATTCTAAATTTGCAATAACTTGGAAGAAGACAACACTAAAAGTTTATTTCTGAAGAAGGTTACTAAGCAAATGTGATAGCATGAGTGAGATTACATGGAAATGTTTAAGTACTTAGGGAAGTAAACTATTTGAGTTAGAACATTATTAATATGAGAATAATGGTTGCTAACTAAAATAAGTCATGTTCATCATTAAAACATCTTAGCAGGACTTCTGGTTAGAAACACTTGGGTAGCAGTTAGCTGGAGTATCTGAATACTGTCAGTTACAACTGCACACCTCTCAGTAAACCTTTTTATTAGTTTGGATGAGTCTCAGAATGAGAAATCAGAATTAGTGAGGTTTTACTGTACTTCAGAATCAACAAATACAGACTACCCAAGACTAAGAACATGCTTGCTGTTTCTTGGAAGTCTTCAGCAGTCAGGATTTGATGAAAGACTTAATAATCCCTGGACAGAACAAATGGACTACTTACAGAATGAGCACTGCATGACGACGATGTTTTGGATAATGAACTGCAAGAGGCAGGTCCTCTGATCAGTCTGCTCAGCTGCTCCAACCACTCCTGGAAGTCCTGGTTGTTGTTGCAATGGACCACGATCCTCTCTACCATGCTACCTGCATCACCCAATCATGAGCATTTGAAAATACAAGGCAAGGAGAACCTTGAGCTTGCCTCATTCATAAATATACTTCACACAACTAGGACTCGGGTGACTGTTCTCAGGATTTTTCATACCTATGGGATGACCCTGTTGAAACTTCTATATCAGGAACACATAAGCTGTGATAACAAAGTAAAGAAACAAATATTCATGTCCGATTTCTAAAACTATCTTTGATTTCTACTGCTTGCAGACTCTAAGAAGTATTGTAAAACTTCACCATCAACAAACTTGCAATATGAAAATTTAAGAACATAGTCCATCTAATTAATAGTCTAAAATGAGAATATTGTGCTGATTCTCATAATATCAAAGTTGCAACAAGATCCAACTAAGACTGCTTACAATCTTTGGGCAAACACCGAATCTTAGGCTCCCTATTGGGAAAGAAGAGGGTAAGGCCTGGGGCCGTTATCCCAGGCTTAGCCATAATGACATGTAAATCACACAGGCCTGCCAAAAAGGATAACAGGCCAAAATGTCAGGGAGCATTATCGAGGCCTGGCATTTTGCTCAATTTGTGAAAAGTTTCATGGCTTTTCAGCACTTTTTAGAAACACAACCAAATCTTTCTAATTCATACACTGATGATAAGATTGATGATAAAAGTCCATATCTTTGGCTCCTCTGCCACCAGGGAAGAGATGACAGAAGGAGAGAAAATGACATTTACATCAGTCTATTTCGTTATTGCTTAGCTCTCAGAAGTAGCTCTTATGCAAGAGAAGATTGAAACTAATGGAAAAGCCGAGGTTTCTGAAAGACCAGGAGACTTCTCTTTTCAATCACTGTACCCTAATTATCCCAGGAAATGGAATATACTTTGTCGTGTTCCCGTAAAACTTGCTCATGGACTATATAACAGAAAATAATAGCATTTATTTATTTAAACTCCACTTCATTCCAAAAATGATTTGAAGTAACTACATGAAAAAGAGAAAATTACCTACCTGTGATTTCAAATGTGCAGTCATTCCCTTCAATTTCATCTAATCTAGTCACCACCATTCCTGCTATTGGTATTTTTCCCTACCAGAAAAAGAACATTCCCATTAATTCTGTGGTTATACTTGTCTCTGCTTATTTCTCTTAGATTTTCTGACTCTCTCAGGAATCACTGCTGAATTACAGCTAGACATATTTCTCTAGTCTAGCAATAGATATGTTTCTCTGCTCTAAGTTTTAATCAGACAAGATAGTAAGGGGAAAATGTGGGTTGTGTTTGGTTAACACACCCTAAACCATAACATCAGGATTTACAAAATAGTTTACTTTTCTACCACATTTTCATAGGAATCGGTAAACAAAGGCTCAAATTTTATGAAAATTACTAATTGCCAGGCCAAGATAACAGGCAATAGTAACTTCAAATACTCTATATCTTAAGAGCAGACTGAGGGAAGTTTAATTTCCTAAGGAGTTTAATGACTTGCATCCTAGAAACTCAAATCATGTGATGTGACTGTAATAAGACAATCATAAGACCAGGTCCTGGCTTTATATTTTCTCAGCAATAATGATATGGGCCTGTAAAATGCTGTTGTTAATTTACTAGTTGTAGACTTAGATTTTTATTTATACATTCAAAACCTAGCTCATAACCAGAGCAGTAGCTATTCAGGATAAACTCATTATACTAATACAAAGGTCTTTGATCTAAAGAACATCTGCTCTTTTAAGCTGTTTAATTACAATGAAGGGTCAGAACATTCTGCCTTTTCTGGCTTGAGCTTTTAATACCATAGTGGAGATATTGTACTGGATGAAAACCTCTTTCCATTATGGGTCCTGCTGTTTGTTTTATATGAAACCTACTAACCTGGTAGATAAAGCCACTCATCCGAGGACTTGCAGATAGCATTACCAAGACATTTGAAAATAACATAAGGTACCGCTCCTCTTTTTCCTGAGAGGGAACAAAAAACATTAAATGGAGAATAGAAATTGGACATTTGTCTGTTAAGGAGTTCAGGAATCGTGGCTTTGTAACACAGATATATAATCAACTGAAACATCAACAGTGATTTTTTAAAAAAGATACCCAACTTAAAAGCACAAAATGAGTTGAATTTTCATTTGACATGAACATAAACCCAGAGTTTATATCTCTCCTTACATAACAGCTAAATACATATAGCCATGCTTGTTTCCTATGTATGTAAGCCTGAGAAGTCACACAGCTTGTGCAACCAGTGAGATGTGCTGGTCTTGGGCACAAAATAAGTCTCTAAGTTCTCAAAACAGAAGTTTGATTTTACTTTCGATGCTCTAACATGTATGCTAAATTCTTATTCATAAAATTATTTATAATCATTAAGAACAGGATAATTATTGCAACCATGTAAAACAAAGAACTAAATACTTTTTTTAATGGCATTAAAGAAACCTTTATACATGAGGGCTGCCCTGAACCCCTTAAACAGATATGCAATTAGTAGATGCAAAAATTACATCTTAGGGGCCAACCCCGTGGCTCACTCGGGAGAGTGCGGCGCTGGGAGCACCAAGGCTGCAGGTTCAGATCCTATATAGGGATGGCTGGTGCACTCACTGGCTGAGCGCGGTGCAGGCGACACCACACCAAGGGTCGCGATCCCCTTACCGGTCACAGGAAAAAAAAAAAAATTACATCTTAGAGACAATCATCCTTGTGCCTGACTCTGTCTCCTTCCTCCCATTTGAGAAGATCAACCTCTCGAAGCTGACTATTCTAACAAGTGTCCTGCACACTCTTGCATCTTTCTCTGCTTAGTTTCCTTCTACAGACATCTCCTCTCCTCCTTCCAGCAGCTTCTCCCGTTTTACTGCTTTTCGCCTTTGGCCTTTCTCAGATGCACATCTCCTGTCCTAATAGGCCTCCACTTGCCCCATGTGGCTCTTTATATGTGATATCCTATTTCTTGACATTTTATTGCCAAATTACTTGATGCCTTCATTTTCTCCCCATTGTCCCTCCCTAACTGCACCCCCACTGATCTCCCAAACTCATCAATAACTGCCTTCTAGCAAAATTCAATGGCTTCTTCTTGATCCTCCCACTCCTTGACCTCTGAACCTTCTGCAGCACTCAGCACTCTGACTACTTTTGATGCTCCTCCTAGAATTTCCAGGACATCACACACTCCCAATTCTTCTCTACTTTCCTCTTTGTCCTTTTTTTTTTTTTCCTGGTACCAATTTTTTCTCCCTTCACCCAAGAGGTTCATACCAAAGGTGTGAATGAGTCATAGACTCACTGCATTAACCTTCCCCAGGGTATCTGCATTTTAAATGAGATTGCTTATTAACCCAAAGTAATGAATCTTCTCTGCCAGAGACATGTCAGGGAGTATAGGAAGATGTTTTGGGAGAGAGAAGACAATTCTAACACCCAATAAATCATACCAGGTGACATAATCAATCTTTCTCCCCTGCTCTGGCCCCTCCCTAAAAGAAATAATCCATCTTCAGCCCACTGTGCTTCTCTGTGGATATTTACTTCCTAGGAAGGCACATCTGTCAGGCACATCTAAGTCACTGCCTCTAACTGACTTCTCACCCACATTTCCACAGTATTTTAACAGCTGCCTACAGGACATCTCCACCTGGATATCTGCAGTCACTTGAACATTAACAGGTCTAAATTCACATTTGTCATCTCCTCTAGCTCCTGGGTCACCACTTTCTGTTGACTTTCCCTTCTGAACGTGTCTCAGATTTGCCCCTTATGCTCCATTCCCTCTGCCACCATAGTCGCTGGGGGTGCTTCTCACTTTCCATCCCAGCTGGCCTTTCTGTTTCTAGTCCCACCCCCTTCAGTTCACCTGACATATATGGTGGTCAGAGTAAGTGTCAAACACCCCTTTCATCATGTTTTTCTACTCCTCGGGATACTTTCATTGCTTCCTCTTGTTTGTGGCATCAGCCTGAACTACTCTCGCCTGACATCTAAAGTTTTTCATAACCTGCTTCTACTTGACTCAATCAATCTTTTCTTTCACTAGGTCCAACATGCTTCCTCTGGTCACAACACGCTGGGTTCCTTATTGCCCTGCAGAAAAAAAAGCCATGCTCCTACTCTCTTGAGATAAGAATAACCTCTACCTTATGGAATCCTCCCCTTTTCTTTTTGTGGCCCTCCTCCTCAAGTCCTGTCTCCGTAAAGTCTTCTTGATCTCTCCCTGCTGTGAACTTCTTTTTTAAAACAAATATGTATTATAAGCATATTATTATTACAAATTGTGGTTTTTCTTTATATCCTTTACCCAACTTATCCCTCCCCAAACGCCCCCCCGCCCACATCTCCCCCCATCTCTAGTATCCTTAGGTTTGTTTTCCCCTTCTGAAAGTTTAATATACTGCT